GATAAGAAATTCAAAAGCTTATCTTTTAGTGAATTTACGTCAGGTCTAAAAGAACTAGAAGAAGGCGAGGGTGATATTCGTGGGATTGCTGGGATTGATAACGGGAAGGTTGTTTCGATTGCTTGGTGGTCAATAGATTCCATAATACTAGGCTATCAACATGGTTCAGTCATCATATTTAGTTATCTCAAAGCAAAAAACATTCTTAGTGATACTCCCGAGATATTCAAGTCTTGCAGAGAGATAACAAGTCGCATCGAGAACCGCGTTTTGCTGATTGAACATGAGATAAAAGCCATTCGAGCCCGCGTGCATGGAGAAAATATTGTATCTTACTCAAGAGCCCAAGAGGAAGATGATTTAGTCGATGGAAATGACACAGAATCACTTTTACAACGGATAGCATCGGCAATTGGCAATTCTTTACATTATGTGACCGATACATTTTTGTGGAATTTCGAAAGTGATTCCTCATCTATTCGGGGTAAATTTATAACAATACCAAAGCGAACATTTAGGCTAAATCGTATCACTAAAATTCTACCACAAGAGCTGTTATATCGCAAAATTAATACACTTGAATACGATACGGCGTTAGCTATTGCCGAGACATACAATCTTGATACAGATATAATTTATCAAGCGCGTTGGCGAGATACGGAAATATCGGAAGAATCTATTCACGAGTGTCTCGACAAAATACATAACCGTGAATGGGTAATCACGAATTGTCTCGATAGAATACCAAATGCTCCCTTACCGGCATGTGCGGAAATGATTCGGTTATTGTTGGCATACGGATTGAAACAAACAGACATTTTAGATGATATTCTTGCAAATGTATCCTATAAAGACTTGGCATTAAAACTCAGGAAAGACCCTCTTGAATGCGACCCAACTTTAGAAGAAACTCTCAGAAATCTACCATTATCTGAAGACCAGAGAAATATGTGCCGATATAGGCATTATTTTCTGCACTACTTGGATAGATTACGTACATTTGAAGATATCACAAGTGCCAAATCAAGACGCGATATGGCTCTCGGACTTATGTATAGTTCTTTCGATATGGGCGGATGGACACCTTTCGTAGACTATTCATCGACTTTTGCAGAGGACTATGCAATATTCCGTGACATTGATATCGCAGCACAGGCCATGGACTATGCCGCAGATGAATTTTTTGAAGGATTGTTAATCCTGTTCACACGTCATGGATCCGAGACTTTACCATACAGATATACAATTTTGGAACAGATACCTGAAACTGCTGATCCGAGTGCATATGAAGTCTTCCTATCGAGGGTTAGCTCCGTAAATGGTGAAGAAGCAGAAGAATGTTTATGGAATGAACAACCATGGCGAGAACCTGACTGGGTCGAGAATCCGATATTGAAACAACAATTCGTAGTTGAAGAACCTGCCGAAAGAGAATTTGATGGCATCTGGTTAAAGCCTGTTTCTTATCCGGCTAAATCCTCGTTTATAACACAATGGTATTACAAAAGAGCACATGCGATAGACGCCATGTCTGGCCAGGTTGATAAAGCATTGCAATTGGTGCGATATGGCATACGCAAGAACGTTCAAGGCTTGGAGACTCTCGAAGAAAATCTTGATATGTTGTACAAGCTAGTATACGAGTGTTGTCCCTCACTCGAGTCAGTAAGTACAGGCACAACACTTTGCGAATTCGAAGCGTTATCAGAAGCGGGAATAGTGGAAATATTTCTCCGACATACCGATGAAAATCGTGTCGTAAATGATGTACAAAAGTTTATTCTACCATACCTTGATTTATTACCGGCACGTCGTGCTCGTATGAGCAGTCAATCTAGCAGTGTTGTATGCGATCACGCTCTTCCTGCTTCCGAATGTGAGCCGATGGAGATTTTGTACAAGTATATACTTAAATCATCGACCGAGCAGTTAGGAGTATGTTGCTGCCTCTTCGAAGCGTCAGCAGTCACTCTTGCAGAAGATCAGAGAATAATTTCTTCGAGTATAGATTTGGCCAGATTAATATTGTCATGCGCATATGGGAATGAGCGCACTGACCAGTGGGACATTATTACTCGAATGACTAATTCTTTGCCTACATTCGATACGTCAGAAGATATGGACTTGAGCGTCGAAGATAAGAAAGACTTGGGTCGTCTTGACACAGAAAGTCTTTTTTCCAACTTGAAGACTAAGAATGTGTATGAGATACAAGTTTTGATTAATGATCTTTACATTCATCTGGATGTTGCCAAGACCCTTGCCCGCTATCATATACCCGTTCCGTTGAAGTGGTTCTTTTGTAGCTTGGAAGATAGGGATCTTCAGAAGAAGTTGTGTATTCAGTTGGCTCGAGTATCCAACAATGATGGATTGGGATATGGAGAAAGATTTTCTACCATTAATGGTTGGACAACATTGCTAGATGATATGTTAAACATACAGAAAAGCGTTTTAAATAAAATTCCTTCCAAGGAAGTAGTGCAAGATTTTATATCCGGGTTACTTTATGCGGGCAGTATCCTTTCAAAGTTTGACTATGACACATTTTCCTTATCACCATTTCCTTCATATCCTTAACCAGTTTGTTCTGTAGGATTTGACTATGCACGTAAAATATTATTACCAGAGAATCAGGAAACAATATTTGATCTTGGTCTCATTGAAAAAATCGTTATAGAATCATCGAGAGAACTATTTGACAAGGCAGCGTCGGGCAGTAGGAGGTCTGGTTATATGAAAATGGCTTATGAATGGTCAGTATTATGAAACTTTAGATATTCCTCAAAAAAAAAATTTTGTGATGCTTACGTTTATGTCCTTGTCATAGTTTACAAATCGTTCCGATATCACCGGCAACACAAGCCGAAATGGACTTTATCGAAGCCACAGAACAATTATTGGAACGCAAATTAAGTCATAAACTTGACATGTCGCTTCGTCCAATTCATATACGCCATGAAAAAGATCGATTGAGTTTGATCGAACGATTCCTGCGAGCAGATGAGAAGGGCTATCTGGATTTGGAAAACGCCCTCGAATTAGCTCGTAAATTAGGATTCAGGGGGGACAGAGTTGCAGAACTCAAGGTGCATGTAATGGTTGCTAAAGCCGCATTACGTAATGCAAATTACAAATATGCATTTGACGTCTGTATGATAATCATAAATGAGACGAAAGCGTTTGAGAATTCAATCGAAGGTCGGAAAAATCCAACACTGCTCAGAACAATGAAAGATGTTACATGGCGTGCGTGTTTGGATGTTGGCAGGAAGAAAGAAATGCCTGATCTCGAGAACAGAAAGACACTTTTAGCGTATGCTCTTGTAAATTGTACGAAAGAGAACATGCTTGATATCCTGAATGATTGGCGTTTGGTAGAATCAGAGCATAAGGAAATGATGCGGCGGAAGGCTGCCGAACCTAAACAGGAATCCACGCAAAAGGTTAAGTTAGTGGCAAATGTACAGCCTGCAGGAGAGCCTGTTAGCCGATTTGTGCAGGCCATAAGTAGTTGGTTGTCATAACAAAAGAAAGTTCTGTGTAACGATGGGATGGGCAAGCTAGAGATGGAAATGATAATCTGGTAGATAAGCGGACACTACCGTTATAAATTACGGTTTATGGAAAATCATATGCACGTTGAAAAGATTCATTCTTCGCTCTATCCAATAATTTTATAATTTTCGAATCCAGTACTGTATGTAGCACGCGATAACACATCATTAAATTACATTTTAAAATAAAACACATCGCTTCCTTTTGATAATCTAAAGCCATGTCAACTCTAGTTTCTTGCACAAGCAATCCTATAACTCAACTTACCACACTCTTTCAAGACTCCGCTTGGCAATCGGCCTCAACCTTCTTCACAACAGACGAAACACATTCGCAGTTATCTTCCTTCCGTACACACTCGGCTCCCGATTCAAGAGATTGCTTCGAGTCCTCGTGGAATAGTTTCACACAGGACTGGCAACAATTCCGAGAGACAACTTGCACAAACGACAACGACGAAGATGAATTTAGACAAGAGTGGAGTAATGAAAGTTTTACGCAATTGTATATACAACGACATGGCTTGGATAAAATAAGACATAATTATGCCAACGTTAATATTAATCATAATGTTAATAAGAGGATATCTGCTAGAGGTGAAGACAATGGAATGACTTTTGCAGATGAATTCCTCTCCCTAGACTCTTCGACAACGTTGACGGAAGAATTTAAGGCGTTCTTGTCAGATACCACTTCTGATATTCTATATAGTGATCTTTATTCAGCGCACTTGTATTTATTGGACCAATTCCTCTCTCAATTGCTCGATCATGCCATAGCATCCACATGTAAGCCTTCACCCTCATCCGAATGGAATTTCACTAAATTGTTCTGTTCCACTCGTTGGAATACCAGAGAGGACGAAAGGACGCTTGAAGAAAAGTATTTAGAGGGTGTGGCGACTGATCGGTTGAGTATGTTGTTGGGACATTTAGGTAAAGGAGGAAAAAGTGAGTGGGCGGGTGAATTTTGTATGTCATGAGAAGGAATTGAAAAGAATAGATGTCTAGATCTTTGTGTACTCGAATGAAAATTAAGCATATAGTAATCAAATTAAAAGTGAAGTAATTTTATAAGTGTCATCCAGAACGACGTGATCTATCGCCCCCGCCTCTCATCCCACCTGCATACAGCAAAATCAAATATTAATATGAGATTACAAGAATCTCAAAAAGTCCAAATCAATTATTGAAAATATTTTACCCCGTCCACCACGACCAGATGAACCTCTTCCACCACCTGCAAAGAAAGATAAAATCATGATACAATGTGAATATTCTATCAAGGAATGTATACTGATATTGGTGGGATCGTTTGGGAGCATCTAAACTGCTGTTGCATTAAAACAACCTACCTCGCCCTGAAGTATGTCCACGTTGACCACCACCTGTAAGTATAAGGCGAATTAATTAAAAGAAAACCGGCAGATTAACGGGCAAACATGATAACGAAGACTGTGCTTACGCCCTCGACCACCGCCACTAGCTTGCCGTCTCGCTGCGTCCTCTCTTACCATTTCGATAATCTAAAGTAGCAAATAAATTGATACGTTTAAAGATTCATGAAAATCAACAGTAAGCCATTAATGCATGATGGTATGAGGTCGAAGTAAACGTGATTACCTCGTCAGGGACCCGAAGATATTTAATCTTTGTTGAGTACGAAAATTCGATTAATATAAAAAGTCATAACGAGCCCATTAATTTAGAATGAACATTAATGGACAAAATTTACCGTATTTCCTCGTATATAACATTCTGATAATCGCCAAAACCTATCACCTTCCTACAAACACGCATCATCAAAAGCAAGCCGGCTCCGACATGAGAAAACAGTGTCTCTAGTTATCTCCTCTCCCTCTACCCCCTGTGTATTCCTTTCCCCTCTCATACCGGTGACGTCTGTATGACTTCTCGCAACGTCAAATTCATCCAATTGTCACAATTGACTAAATGTCCATTAAACGTTTCTCCATTTTTCAACTCCACGAGCTATGCTTTGCCAGAAGTAATGGTTAGCACAAGTGATATTTGTACGATATTAAAAGGAAGAATAGGAAAAGCCAGTGCCGTAAATATTGGTCAATAACAGCAAGAGTCTATACTTGAAAAAAATTACCATAGGATGTCCTTGGGCTGTAGTTAAGAGTGAAAGAGGAAGCTAGGTTATGACATATTTTAATTAGCATGAAAGAGTAGAGTGCGTTAACGGATTGTTCAGGAGGGTGGCTGAATCAGCAAGCATATATATAAATTCACCATCGTCTAGATATACTATTTCGGCTCTACTCTCGTACTCTACGATCGTTTTTTGGGTCGGAAAAAATCTCCCCTTCGCGATATCTTTTTGATACATCAGAGGAAACTTTTCCCGTGATCAGCAAAACCATTATGATCTCAAAACGGTGCCTGCATTCTTGGATCGACACACCGACACCGACAATTCAGATCATTTTGTCTCTTTCGTCGTTTTATTTTATTTTCCTTCAATGTCCTCTCAATACCGTGCCCTGTTCGAAACTCCAGGCTGGAATCTTGGGGATGTAGTTGCCGAAAAGAGTAAATCTAAGAAATCACGTAAAAGAGAGAGGCGTATGTTAGAGACCGTTGAAAAAATCAAGAGTAGCATCGAAACTGGAAAGAAACGCATAGACGCAAGAAAGGGAGGCGGGAACGAGGCCGAGCGAAGGCCAAACAAAAAATTGAGAAAGAATAATGAGAAGGGCGTTGCAGAAAAACATAACAAGGACTCCATCAAAGATAACGGTAAAAGTGAGACCAGTGAATCAAAGAAACCTCACGATGACGAAAGACAGTTATCGGAAGAAGTTGAAAAAATTGTAAATAGTTTTAAAGGGTTGAAAAACAGTAAAAATCGCATAGGGACAGGAGGCGATAGTGAGATTGAGGCCGGACAAAGAGAAAATAAAAAATCGAGGAAAATGAATAAAAAAGGTGCTGTAGAAAAGGGACAAAAAACAGGAAACGATGATGGTTCAAGTAACAAGGTATTTCAAGACGTTTGACACTTTTTTTTTGTGTCCGTTGAGCTGATCTCTTTGAATTCTTTTCCCAAGATACGGAAAGACAAAACACCCAACCAGGAATTATTCAATGGGTCGGATGTCAACCTTCAAAAGCACCATAATATATCAACTACTCAACAAGCGTCTTCAGCTGTATCTGCAGGCACTTCAAACATACGATCCAACTCATATGCTGCTAATTCAAAGAAATCTCTAACAACCTCACGCTTTCGCTGGATAAACGAAAAGTTATACACGTCAACTAGTGCAACAGCATATGAACTGTTTGCGTCGAATCCATCACTGTTCGCCGAGTATCACGAGGGATTCCGATCAGCTGTGGAGGCATGGCCGGTAAATCCTGTCGATGTAATGATTCAGTATTTGCAAAGCAAACCAGAAGGTACTGTTGTAGCAGATTTAGGATGCGGAGAAGGAAAGATAGCGGAAAATGTTCAATGTAAAGTCGTGTCATTTGATTTGAGCGGTGGGGATAGGATTGTCAAGTGCGATATCGGTAAGGTACGTGCGTACGTTAACAGTCAGAAAAAATGCCGAGAGAAAGGACTACGGGTTACGATCTAGGAGCATTGCAAATAACCATGGTTTTATTTAACGTAGCTACCAATGCCCGATGAGCTTTTCGATATAGCAATATTCTGTTTGTCGCTTATGGGAACGAATTATATCGATTTTATCAGAGAAGCTTATCGAATATTAAAAAAAGAGTAAGTCCTTGATTACTGAACAGTAGGTTTCCTGCTTTGTTATCCGTATATCAATAGTAAGATCCAATTGCTTTTTTGTTTCGAAAGTGGGGAACTAAAAATCGCAGAAGTGATTAGTCGTTTTACGGATGTCGATGCATTTATTGCATTACTAAATGAAGTCGGATTTAGACTAGTAAAAAAGGTGAGATTTTTGCTTTTCCTGTTCGTAGCGTTGCTTTATTGAAGATGATATATGATTGATTGATTGATTTATTATCGATTTAGGATGATAAGAATAAAATGTTCATCCAGTTTGATTTCATTAAATCGAAACCAGGTGGTGTCAAAAAATCAAAATTATCAGATGCCTCAAAATTATTAAAGCCTTGTGTTTATAAGAAACGATGAAAAAGAATTAATCGTAAATAGTAAATAATAAATAATAAATAACGCAAGAACATAAATATACATCTCTCCCTGTGGCAATTGGCTCATCCCAAAGACATGTAGTCAGCTCTTTGCCGGTTATGAATAAACCCAGTAAGTCCTAACAGGAGTAACATAATTATGCCGATTCCCAATGAAATGATCTCGAAGAAGAAGGCGCTGCTGTACTTAATACCGTAGTGGAATGTGCTCGAGGTGTCGCGTTCATGTATGATTAATACGGTAACTAAAGCTTGCAGAAACCCTATAAAAACCAAAAAAATAGTCGGATAAGCAAGAATATAAAGGCTAATCGTCAAAGGTTATTATATATAGCCTTTGTGTATGATATCCATTGCATTTAATTCCTTACACTGAGCAAACACCGCATACAAGACAAATTGCCACGCTTTCGCCCTGTCAAACACACCAAATATTATCGGGAAAAAGGCAAGGAAAGCTAAAATACCGATACTAAATGCCATTATCTGTCCAACTCTTGCAGCTTTCCAGGTCTCGCAGAAATACTCTTCTTCACAGTCACCATACTCTTCCAATGGAAAAGGCCGGCAACTGATTTCCAACGAGGAGCATTTCTATGGGCCCAAAAGGAGAGAGAACATGTGAATTTATTAATGATCCATGAATAAAATTTTTAGTATAGCATTGCACAATATACATGAATAGTCCCATTACAGCAGTCAGGGCTTGTAAATAATTACCCGGAATAAACCATAGAACGTTATTGCCCTGTATGGCCGAGCAGATTCATAGACCAACCTATTGAAAGGAACGTGTTACTGTATCATTTAAACACTCGCAGAATGTCCAAACTCCTCACTCAGTACCAACCATTTAGTAAGAATAAGTGCTTCAAAAGACAGCCAGTTAACGACGCCATAAACAGCTGTAGTAAGTGTATAGAGAATAATGGACTTCATGTTTGCAATAAGCGAGCGCTTAATGAGGGAGAGTGCAAACAATAACGATCAAGCAGACATTAAAATATTGTGAGAAAATTTCATCGAGAACCGCGATGGATGATTTACATTATGTGAGGCAGAGATCTACATATTACATATACTGCGCCATTTTACTTGATTGCATATTATTCATTGCTAATTCTTTAATTATCTACATTCTAAACCGGAAAAGACAGCTAACAATAAACGTGCACGATTTATTTCGATTATATATTTGACATATTTTTTCAATTGGACGAACAAAAGTCGGAATACAAGTTTACTAAATCAAAGAGTAGTATTGTATTTATTATAACTAATAGTTGTCTTCATAGCTGTTTCTCGGTTTAGGTAAATCGCCTGTAGGTAAGAGCTTACTAGAGTATTTATTCGCCTCCTTTCCGAGACGTGATAAGGGTTTTACGTACCATTCCGAAAACGTTGGCACGTATCGCATAAACCCGTTCTTGAACTCATGATTTGATTATAGTAATATGGTCGTACAACTTGATATCAAAAGTTACTGGTTATGACGCGACGATTTTAAAAAACAACACTCCTATTCACTTTCACTATGTCATGAGTCTCCCCTTTCTTTTTCTTTACTAGCCCATTCTTACTTCCTTGCTCTCCATCTCGTCGCCCACTTTCACCTATATTCACACACACGATACCATGATTCTAACAGGTATGTAATTCAGCGAGTAGAAAATTGTTAACAGACATCCAATATCCAAAGAATATTTATGCATTCAAAATATATCTCAAAACAGAGACGGCAGTTTAATAGAGTTTAACATGTAACATTATGGTGGACATAACCATCAATGCCTAATTCCGTACCCGAGGAATATAAGAAACTTGCCAAGCGGTGTCGTGATGCTGATTCCGATATGCATACAGATGCATAGAGACATTGGGAATGATATTTATGAGTTTGTTAAAGAGGCGGAAAAGGACAATTTTGTTAGTAACGCATGGATGATGATGTAAAACCCTTGTCACGTCTTGAAAAGCGTTCTAGTAACCTAAACTGAGAAATAGCCATGATTTGGATTCAGCTGCCAATAGGTTGGTGTTCATTAATTGATATTGTGGCCGTTGGTTGGGGCCAGAGGAAGTTGATACAAACACGCAGGATAATCTCGCTCGTAAAATTAATTTTATCATCAGATTGCACGAGTACACCGATGTCGAACAGGTACTTTTCGAGTTCGCCAATTTTTTTTAGACCAGTATCCAAACCATCAGCACTGCTTATAAGATCACGAATACTTCCTGGGATCTTTTTCCCTTAGTGCATTCTTGATTTTGAGATGTGTATGGTGGGGGACACAAAATAAAGATATGACGAGAGTTTGAAAGGGTATCAAATTATGACTTTGCTGTCATTATGCACATCACAATTTAAATTGTTATGTTCTTTAATTGCTGCTGAGGATACAATGCATATTAACATGAGTGACAAATGTCAATGCCAGCAAAGGTTTGATATCACTCTCGTATGGGTGGACTCCATCTGGAGTTGTGTCTAGACCACCTGATGCATAAAAAGTCCTCAGATATGTTATAAGCAGTTTCAAATGGGCTCGAACTTAAAGTTCATTATACAGTCGATTGCCGATAATTCGACCACTTGCGGTCGGCGGTCATCGGTCGAATTATAAATTATTGAGTGTCCACAAGGTCGACATACGCGTATACGCTTGCGCTGCATACTTATCTCATTTTCGAAATACTTCTTTAAAATGAATTCATTGTCAAGTTCTTATTGTAATTGCTGTAAAACGACTAAGCTTTCTAGCGAATTCGTGGATAAGGATAAGAATGGCAATCCAAAGCAATTTTGTACTTGTAACAATTGTCGCAATCAAAGAAACAGACCTTCAACTAGTAATAATGCCCGTGATAATGAAGAATCTTAGAAACAATTGAAATCGAAGCTCTATGTCAGAGTTTAAGAGAGCTGTTAAATAATTGCGATTTGGAAAATAGAAATTGTTAGCAACGCAATTACATTATGCATTAGACGTTAGCAATTTTGATGATTCTGCAAAAAAGATAGCTAACGAAATAGTCGGTCTAATCGAAGATATTGATGAATACAACTGGGTGTAAGCTTTATACATAGTCACTCTCGATAAGTCGGACACTCGATAAGTCGGATTGGGCTTAACTCGGACAAAATTTTTCGCCCCTTTTTTTCAATATTTAAAAAAATTCGATAAGTCGGACACATATATAAA